AGACACTTGCATTATGTAAAAAGAGTGTACATTTTCATCATGGTAAGATTTTTGCATTTGCATCCTCATATTTTCATCATGAAAAAGGTCTTTATGCCCACATCATCGCGTTACATTTGCATTACTAGGATATAAATTTGCATTTATATGGATCATTTGCATCAGGAAAATATATTTGCATTTGTATCAAGAAAAAGACATTTGCATTTGTATCAGGAAAAAGACATTTATGTTTGCATAGAGCATTTATTTGGACTTTTACATGAAGTAGAAAATTTTTAATTGCATGATCATTTCAATAGCCTTTTGCATCTTGGTTATGCTTGCCAAATTTATGTGGTAAAACAAGAAAGAGGAAATATGTTCTTTGAACTTTTAAAACACTTAAGAAATGGCTTAGAGCACTTTTAGGGGAAAAAAAAGGGTTGTAACAAAGATGAAATATTGAACATTTTCAAATCCAAAAAGATAAGATCTTTTGGAACAAAGAGTGAAAAAAAACTTTTAGAATGAAAAATGAAAAGTTCAAACTTTAAAGAAGATTATGATTGAGTGAATGAGTATAAAACTTTTAATACCTTTGGGTATAACTTTAAATTTTTGAATGATTTCCAAAACTTCCAATCAAAATTTTAAAATTTTAAAAGATTTCCAAAACCTCTAGGCAAAACCTTAGATTTTTTATTTATTTCTAAAACCTTTAAGCAAAATTTTAAATTTTCAAAAAAATTTGAAAGACCTTTGAGCGAAATTTTAAATTTTTTTATGAATTTTCAAAAATCTTTGAGTAAAATTTTAGATTTTTCACAAAATTTTTTAGGTACAATCTCAAAGTCCTCTGGGTACAATCTTAAAGTCTTTAAGCACAATTTCAAAATTCTTGGGACATAATCTTTAAGTGATTTAGATAAGATTTGTAAGTCTTTTGAATTGAATCTATTTTTAATGTTATGATTTGTAAGTTCTTCGAGTATAACTTTTTAAAATTTCAAGGTTAAGATTTTAGAATTTTTAAAACTTTTGATAGCAAAAAAAAAAAAAAACAACAACAACAACAAACAAAAAAAGAAAAAACAAAAGAAAGACTTTTCAAGATCAAACTTTCAAAACCTTTTCAAAATGAAATTTTCTTAAAAATCCCTTGCTATGTTTATAAGAGCCCTTTGTAAAAAAAAAAAAAAAAAAAAAAAACCTCTAACTTGAGAACAAACAAGCAACACATAAGCGAACTTTTTTAGTCCTTGGTCCTAGACAAAATCAGTGTATTTGATTTTTGTATTATTTTTTATTATCAGAAATATGTAAAGAGAGACAATTGTAAATATCTAATTTTGTCCAAGCAAAATTTGACTACTTATGAAGCTCTTTAAATTCAATTCAGTTCAAATATAACATTTTGTTAGTTGACGAGTTTCTAAAATCAAAATTTGGACTAATTTAACCCAAATGCCCCAAAGTCAACCTAATCAAATTTGATTAAATAAAGTCAAAATTAGCCAAACTTGATCAAAATAGATAAAATCTTGGTCAACATTCAAATTTCACTACCAAATTAGAATTAATGTGGATTAAGATTGAAATTTGTGAATTTTAAAACATTGAAACCTTGTTTGCACTTCGAGAAGGGTAAAGTTACAAAAGGTATTTTTATAATTTAGTCTTCTTGAAGTCAAACTGTTGTGAAAATTTTTATATCATAATTGAATTTTTTTTTATAATTTTTATGCATTAAAAATTCAGATCACATTTTGGGATGAGTGAAATTATAAAAATACCCTTGGAGATATTTTCATAATTTGATCTTTTCAATGTTGAAATTTTGTGAAACACTCTAGATAATGGTTTGATATTATTTGATAATTTTTAAAATTTTAAAAATCCTGATTGTACCTTAGAAAGTGTAAAATTATCAAAATATCCCTCAAGAGTAATTTCGTAATTTGATTTTTTCAAGATTTTTTTTTTGTAAAATTTTTTATATCACATTTTTATAATATTTGATGATTTTTGGTGCATTCAAAACAATAGTAGTACCTTAGGAGATGTGAAATTACCAAAATACTTTTTAGGGATAATTTTGTAATTTGGTATTTTCGAGGTTAGATTTCATAAAAAAATTTTAGATCTTAATTTTATAATATTTCATTATTGTTGACGCTTAAAAAAAATGAATATGGGAACATTGATTTTCAAGAAAATGGCATAAAGATAAAAAATTTTATATTAAGGGCAAAATAGTCTTTTCACTTGGTTTTAATGGTTGTAAAAATCTAACATTTGCAATGAACAATCTAGACCGTTGGATCACATAGGGAATCTTGATCCAATAACTAAAGTTTGCTCCTTGAAATAAAAACAAGAAGAAAATTTTGACTTTTTGATGAACTTTTGATCTTGAGGTCAAGATTCAATTTTAATGAGATATTTTTCCATTTTCTTCAAGAGGCAAAGGGGACATTTTTTCCATGGAAAAACCAAAGGAGAATAGTGTAGAATAGAGGAAGAAAAATTGAGAAAAAAAATCTTGAAAAAATAAAAAAAAATAATCCCTGTAAATAAAGTTTGAAGGTATACTTTTTTTGTCATCCATTTTGCATTTTTTTTGCATTCTTGTCATATATTTCATAACATTTTCATATTGTTTCTTCCCATTTTCTTTGTTTTGTTAAAGCTTTTTAGTTCATTTTTTTGTTTGCTTAAAGTTTGAATCATCTTTATTCAATTAAGTAATAGTTTGTTTGAAGCTAAAATTCAAGCAACAAAAATCAAATCCACCATAGAAAAACCAAATTAAAGTTTGGCCATGGTGGCCCTCTTGTTGGCCGAATCTCATTTTGGCTCTTTTCATGTTTTCCTTGTCTTTAAATATTTCTTATGATAAATATATGTTGAATTTGTTGATGTTTTGTATGATTTTTGAATGGTTGGATATATATGTTATTGTTTGGTTGATGTTTTTGTTCACATGAATTCCTTACCGTGTTTGGATCATTACATATTTCTTAAAGTTGTTTTAATGCTATAAATCCCTTCATGAGGTAATTTAGAAATGAATAATGCATGTTTAGATGAAATGGGATAAAGAAAATGCTAAAGAGAATGCCAAGTAGGTTCGGCCATGGTGGAGCTCTTGTTTGGCCAAACTTTTTTTTTTTGTTTGGCGATTGATAGTTCTTTGATTCATGTATGGGATTATGTTTTTTTTTTTTTTATGATTGACAAGTTTTTGAAGTGTTAAAAGAAATTTTCATTGAAAAAAAGTTAGTTTATTGGTTGTTTTGGTTGAATTTTGAAGTTGTTTGGTTGAGTTTTTAAAAGAAAAAAGTGGAACATTCAGACAAACTTCAAAGATTTTTTTCATATTTGATCATTTTATTCTTGAATTTTCATGTACAACATGTTTGTAATTTAATTTTATAAATACCTTGGTTTGTAATTATTTTTTAATATCATTTTTTTATCATATGTATTCATTAATGACATTTTTGTAATTTGCTTTTGTCATACGCTCAAGAAATCTTAAATTCAAACCCTAAATTCCAAACTCTAAATTTTAAATCTTAAATTCTAAACCCTAAACCTCAAACCAAAATCCTAAACCAACCTTAATCCCTAATCCTAAAACCAACCCTTAAACCCTGCAACCAATCATGCATTTATACTTCATTTTACCTTGTCATCACAAAAACATTTTATATTGTCATACATTCATACTTTATTATTCATGTTTAATGTTCTTGCATTTATCATATTATCATATTCATATATTTCATGCATCTATTTTCAAAAATATATTTTTAAAAAGTAAAAATGTTTCAAAATAAGATAATATCATAAATATAGTAATCGATATATAACCTAACTATAGGAGGACTCTCGGTGATTGTTATTTATGAGAGTTGTTATCTCGATTTTGTGAGGCAATTTGAAAATTTTAAATTAAAAATATTTCAGAAGTTTTATCTAATTATAAGAGAGTGAAAGAAGTGTTTCGATATTTAAAATGCTTTCATTTTGATCTAAAAATTAAAAAAAAAAGTAAAAAAGTTTTGTTTTTAAAAAATTTTGATTTGTTTTTGTTTTCTAAAAAAAAATAAAATAAATTAATTTAAACATTAAGAAAAATATGACCGTTTTAACCAAAATTCAAGTATAATATACAATCAATGGGGTAGTAATCTTTTTCGACGTATAATCGACTCTGAGACATAATTCTGATTTGGTAGATTGCAAATGTGTTCTTTTGTAAAACTTTTAAATTCGTTTTTAAATATTTTATAAATAGATAATTTTTTTAAGTGATCGATTATACCCTAAAAAAAATTAGTAATGACTCCTTATTTTATTTTTATTGAAAATATTTTTAGCCTCTGTTTTTCAATTCCTCATTCGAATGGCTTTCGAGTCACCCACTTCCGGATCCTGAGGCGTTCCGATACTATGCACACCAAGGTTTGATCCTATTCTTTTTATATTTTTATTTGATATAAAAAATCATTCTTCTTATAAAAAAATGATTCTAATAATAAAAAAATTATTTAAATTAATTTTTTTTAAAATTACTAATGATATTTTAATAAATTATTTTTTATATTTTTAAAATTAAAATTTTATTAAGAGTATTTTAGTCAATTATTTTGAGCACATTTTTAGTCTAATTATAAAAAAAAAAGTTTTACAATAAAAAATTCATTTAAATTAAAATTTATAAAAACATTTATAAAGAATATTTCAACCAATCAATTTTAACATTTTTGAATTTAAAATGTTAAGTAATTTAATTTCATATAAATTCTATTTTTAATTTTAGTTGATTTAAATTAAATTTAAATAAATCAATAAAAATTATATATTTACAAATAAATTTATTAATTTAAAAATAAAAAAAATTTAAGTTGATCACTATTAGTGTTTTTAAAATTTAATATAAAAATGATATATAATTCAATTCATAGTTGACCTATCAAATCCATGTAATATTTTGGCGAGGATGAAAAGTGTAAACCAAAGGGAATGTGTTAATTAGTTCGTTTTATATTAAGAGATTGTCACGATTAATTCTGATCACTATTAAATAATCATACGGTAAGTGCTAATGCCATTTTGACTCTCATCGAGTTTCAGTGTGCTAAAGTTCAGCATTAGATCACATAATTGTTGAGATATCAGATAGACTTGGACGAAGATTTTGTAGTTGATTTTAGACATTTGAAGATCTGACCTTTCGATGATTCTACAGATGATTCTAGACGATTGAGGATTTGACCTTTCAAAGGTAGGTAATGGTAATAGTGTGGAAGACCCTGACTTTGCAAGGCTTCTGTGTGAACTGAACTCTAAATGTTATGCTTGACAGCTATAAATGAACAATACTGTCGAAACCCGAACAGCAACGTGCGACTCTCGCGCGACTAATGGAACGACGTTAAAATAATGGTGGCTACGGGTCGGCATTCGGCAACAGCTGTTCGGCACGTGTCATGATCTAACAGTTCCAAATGATTCACTTGCGTCATGATCCAACGGTTCAGTAACGACCCTTTTCTCACTATAAAAATGTTCCCCATTTTTTTCGCATCATTAGTCTTTACTTATTTTGTTCTTAAAATGCCCTTTGATTGGTGTTTGAAGCTGGGAAAAAAAACCGACTTGGGAAATGAACCTCTAAAGCACAAAGTAAAAAGCAGATTTTGGGCAGCAATCATTTTTTACTATACTTCAAATTTGGTAAGCCTGGATTTACCTTGTTTTAGCTGATAATTGATACTTTATAGAATAAAGTTTTGTTGTATATTCGGTTTAGAAAGTTGAATCATCTTCTCTTCATGATCTCCCCTTTATTGTCTGATTATTATTCTCTTCAATGATTGATGATTTTTTTTGTTTCCATTTTTTTGGTAGAGTTGACTTATCTTCAACTTTAGTGTTGACTTGATTCTGTTTTTATGGTTTTGCGAACAAGATTCATATGATCATGGACCATTTAGATCACCATTACCTGCATAATCCCTTAATCTTTACATGGATCAATCATATAATGAAATTAGCCAAGGAAATGTTTGTCTCTTAATGGTGCTACAATATTGGCTTTCTTTTTTACTCTTACCTTGTTGAAGTTACTGTCACAATAATTCAAGTGTCTAGATAATGTTGCACACTATAAATCTGCTGATCTTATGCCAAATTATGCATGCAAGGATCATGGAGAGTTCTTGATGGGAAGTCGAATCAGTGTTTTTTGTTTTTTGAGTTTCTATTTTTTGGGTTGATATTGACTTATCTGCAACATGTGAATTTCATTTTGTTCCCGTCTAATCATTAAGAATATTTGTCATTTAGTTCTGCAGCAAGATTTTGTTTATTTTCACAAAATGTATCTTTGCAGTTTTTACTTAATCTCAACTACAATCTGTCAATCTGAGAAGCCAAATTCTTCATCTGGGAAACATGGACGATACTACATCAGAAGCTACCAATCCCTGTTCAACCTCAGAGATGGCATCTACATCAATGTATAATCCATCTAGCCATACTTATCAATGGCACTTTCAGCAGCAAATGAATGAGGGAACGGCACATACTCAAGCAAACCAATACCAATTTCTTCAAGGAGAAGCATTTGAAGCTTCGCTCCAACCAAGACTGGGAGGTCGTAGACGTACACTGAGTGAAGAGGAGAGAAAAGAACGCAGAAGACAGAGTGATTGGAACTATAAGCAAAGGAAAAAGGTAATGACAAACAAATCTTTATCATTCTGAATGTGTTTTCCTCATTTTTCCTGGTAAAATTGGTTGTATATGAGGGTGACATATCGCACAAACTTAAAGATGATGATGACAAATTGAGGCTCTATTGTCCCTCATGAACATGATATCGCAAAGAAACTCCAATAGGCATTTGTAAGTCCCTCATCCTCACATTGAACGGAAACTTCAAAAGTCTCTTTTAAACTTCAAAAGGTAATTATATGCCATATTTATGCTCCAACTATTCCTATTGTTTACCACCAATCTAGCTTCAATATCTACCACCATCTTTGGAGCCCTGGATGTCATGTGGAAAACATTTTGATTGATTTTATCATTTCTCTCTTGCTTGGCATGGTTAATGGGAAAGAAGATAGTAAAGGGCTAGGAAAGTTACATGGACCTTGTCAAAAGCTTATCGGATTCATATAAGGAGACAGGGATATCTGATACCATCAGAAAATTTGATTCCACAAAAGATAGTGATAATGCAGGTTGTTCTTGATTCTCAACATCATGTGATGAATCTACTAGTATGTGACATTCTTATGTAACTTCTATGCTCTCTGCTATCTTTTTCCTCATTAATGGTAAAATTAAAGCCCATTTCAGCTTTGAAAGCTTGTACTAGCTGCAAACTTTTTCCCCCTACTTTTTGAGTCCAAAGAAAAGTGACCAATCTGGTTATCAGAAATTTATTCTGAATAGCTTTGGCACAGATGCAAGTGAAGGAGGAAAAAATAAATAGAAGAAACATACATACATGTGGCATCTGTAAGTCTCTAAGTCTCTTCGGCAGCATGCAGGTGCACAGAGACTTCAAAGGACTTCTTTATGCTCTATGATGCTGGAGCCAAATGAAAATGGTAATATTCAGTGATTTAATGGTCCAATTGAGTTCTTTGAAGTCCTCATACTATATCCTCTGGCCAGCAACTCCCTTATATATGGATAAGGAAAAGTGCAATCATCGGTAGATTGTGAAGGATTAGGATGGGATAGAACTATCAACTGAAGTTCCGAATTAGAATAAAAGAAAACAAATAGGTTTCTTATAAGATTTCAAGAAAATGTTGCAGCAGTTACAAATATTATAATCAATATTTAAAATTCTGGCTTGTATTTGTCTCTTCCTTTTTTCCTCTTTGATTTTAGCTTCCTTTTATGCAGAATAAAGAAAATGAAATGATTATCCAGAATAAATTCTTGCAAGAGGAAATTGGGCGGTTGAGTACTGAGAATAGACAATTAAAAGAGGAAAGTGTACGGTTGAGTATTGAGAACAGACACTTTAAAGATGAAAGTGTACGGTTGAGTATTGAGAACAGAAACTTAAAAGAGGAAACTGGACAGTTGACTCTCGAGAACAAACACTTAGAAGAGCGTATCAGAGGACTGCAAGGCAAGGGACAACTTCCAGCACAAGTTCTTCAGAGACAAGACAGTTATGTTTCCCAATCAATAAGCCAGGTTGATCAACCAAGAGTTCATGTCCAGGTAGCAAACGTTGACTTCTGAAAAAGTTTATGATACAAACTTGCCTCTACTTAGCTTTACTGTTTTAGGAACTGAAACAGAATTGATTTTCACTCTTGGCGCATAATGTAATATCCTTGGAAAACAAATAAACATATTGATCAAGATTTCTTTGGTTTCAATTGCTGCTACCTTGTGTTCTGCATACACCTCCCCCATTCCCCCAATAGCATCATTTTTGCAGTCAAAACTGATATACTATTTATCATCAAAGGACAATAGATATCTTTCTTTCTTATCTGCTAATACTAAGTGATCGAAGTTAATTTGGGAACACAGAGAATATCATGAATAAGTTTAATTTTTCCTTCTGCAATGTACTAACTGTCATTTTAATGTATCATTGAATTTCACCATCTCCAAGAGCCACTGTGGAGTAAAGTTTATTGTTTGATTTAATTTTGCTGTTATTTTATGATTAAAACTACATTAATCATATCATTATTCATCATTAAAATTCTGTCCTTTGTCTTAACTTGCAGGACCACTATGGAATGGAGCCTAATAATGAAGAAGCTGTTTACAGGGTATGGTCAATGTTATAAATCCTCTAGCACATTTGGCTTGTGATATCTTTACTGATTACTGTATAATTGTCAGAGAGGAACATTGCTTTTAATCTCACTCAGCTATCTGTTTCTTTTAACTTACAGGAGCACTACTGGATGGACTCCAACAATGAAGGAGCTGTTGATGGGGTATGGTAATTCTTTCGATTTCTTTAAGTGCATTTGACTTGAGATATCTTAAAAAATTACCATACGAATATCCATAAATGCATAGAAATCTTCCATGGATTTTCTAATTGAACCAAAAGAAAAAGAATAACATTTTTGCTTGAGAAGGTGGGTGCCAAAATCTCAGTTGATAGAAATGTTATTAGTTGTACTTAGGGATATTCTGCATTACATATCAATCAATAATTGCTAGGACTTGCTGACCAGAGGTTTTCTTTTTCAGTTTGACGGTTTGGGAATGGATGACTTGCTATGTCTATTGTGCGCCGAGAATGGGATGATACCAAATGGAAGAGTTGCTATCAATGAGCCTGCTCATGAACATGAAGAGTGTTCTCATAGTGGTTTATGTCCCGCTGAAATAGCCAAGACAAAATTCCTTATGAAGCTCGATGAAGAAGTTATGAGCAAAGTAGACTCCAATGACTTCACAGGCCTAGAGGGGGAGCCGAGAAAAGTTGGGAGATACAGTTTCCCGTTGTCTCTGATTCCGACTGTTGTGAGAATAAACAATGTCTATGGTGATGTTTCTGCAACAAGTTTAATAAGTCCCAGTATTTCTGGGACAATCTATTTTCTTTTCTGTGCCACAATCAGAGAGATGGAGAATCTACAACTTGAGGAAGTTACTGAGGATAAAATGCTGAAGTGGAGAGATGTAATCAAGGATGCCCTACGCCTTAATTTCAATGTGAGATTTGCCATGGAACATTTGAAGAAAATTGCCTGTGCTTACTTTGGTCTACAAGAGTGCCCACTGCTCCAAGGCCTAGATGAAAAGATCTCAAATTTAGAGGCTGAGGTGAATGACTGGAAAAAGAAACGTGATAACATATATCAGGAGTCCAAGATGTGCATAGATGCTGCTAAGAAGTTCAGAGGAGTACCAGTCAGCACAGGTCTATTTCCTTAGTCTTCTTCCAGCAGAAATTTGCATTGCTGAAATTTCGACTCCATTCTTACACTTGCTACAGAGAAATAGCATCACATGAAACTGGCATATCACTTTACCTGATATCTTGCTTCTGCAAAACAATGACACAATCTTGCTGTATCGTATTCTTGATTTCTAAAAATATATTTGGCATTGTTATCCACTTTAACCCTTAAATTTTAGAAGCCAACCAAATAAGAACACATATTTTCTACCATCTCCACCAAAAATATCCATTACCTGCCTCAAAACCACCACTGATCACCGTCACTACCATTTACATCTGTTTGATAATATGCTACTCCAAGTCAGCAGTGAGCTTTCTTTATCAGCTATTGATGCTCAAACTGCTAACTAAACTTTGTTGTTAGTGGCTCAAATATTGGAGGTGTGGTCGGCTAGCAGCATGGAACCAAAAAAGTAAACTTGTTATACAAGGATTGAGAGATCTACAACATATTTTGGACTTCAATTAGAGAAAAAAAAAAATCAGTGTATAGTTTGTACACTATCTTAATTCTTGTATTCTTCTCACTTGTTATGAGTCTCTGAGTATGTCTCAAAACTGAGACATTAATATTTTATTTATTCATTTTATATATTTAATAGCGGATTTCTAGCTTTTTTTTTTTTTTTCCCTATAATCTATAGTTTTAACTTTACATTGGAATAAAATGTGGTTTCTTTGTATCATTAGTTAGGCTAAAATACTAAAAAATCCACTTTCTTTTTCTGAATTTTCCAGGTGAGCTCTTATCCTTCTATTATGTCCAATTAAGTTTTTAAAGTACTATTTAACCAAATCAAAGCAAAATTAATTTTATGAGCGGCCTCTGAATTAATTTTCCATTGTTCACATAAACAGGCTCTGAATTCTGATACAAGCTGGTTTAATTGTTTTCTGCAATTTCACAACATCCCAATTCTCCACTACAGTAGCATAAAATTTAACATGTGTAAATTTTTGTAGATGACTTTTATCTGGTGGGATGTTTGACTTTAAGACAATGCGGAGAAAGTGAAACATGAAGCAATAATCGAGTCAGGCGACCGAAACGCACGAGTAGAAGCTCTCGAACGATTGAAGTAGCTGGCAGTTTTCGAACGATGATTTTAAGAAAAGATACAAGTAATCCCAAAAAAAAAAGTTCCAGCTGTTCAGAAAACTTTTCTTGCCGTCTGATTTGGGGTTCTAATGCAACAATTTGTCTGATCTACAACTAGTCTATGAATCAGGTGATTCAGGTCATCTTAGTTCAAATGTTTAAGGTCAAATTGACGTCAGGTTTCAGCTAAAGTAAGGCCCAAGAAGCATTCTGTTCTGTCTGCAGATCTTTTTTGGAGGATTTTGGTTGAGTTAACCCTTTATTTTTCTAGTTGGTCGAATGTCATATAGTTCAAACGTTGTTAAAGCATCTTCTCTTCATTCTACTCTTGTCTGATCTCACTTCTTTTTGGTAGAGTAACTCATTTCCATTTAGTTAAGATTCATCAGATTGGAAGTAGGATAAGGCCTGTCAGCTGGCTAGTTTTGCTATTATTAGAATGATAAAATCTAGTTTTTCCTTTGCTTCTTTGTTTGTGTTACCAATCCAATACATGGGATCCAGTTGAGCAAGATGTCTGGTAGCTTCCTCTGCCAATTCAATGTTTTTGTGAACCTTGCATCCACCAAGGAGAGCTCCTCATACAATCCCATTTGGTTTTATAGGCATGTTCATTATAAACTCATGGGCTTCTTGAAGGAGCCCTGCTCGGCTGAAAAGATCCACCATGCAACCATAATGCTCAATTTCGGGAATAATACCATAGTCTCTATTCATGCCTGAAAAAAATCGACGACCTTCATCAACCAACCCCATGTGACTTCACACATGCAAGAGTCCAATAAAGGTTATCCCATTAGGCTTCAGCTCCATCTCAATCATCATTGAGAAAAAGCTTAGAGCTTCTTGAGCTTGTCCATGAATTGCAAGCCCTTGTATCATAGCTGGCCATGACACAACCGTCTGTTCATCCATCTCACCGAAAACCCTCCTAGCTTCCTCCAAGCAACCACATTTCACATACATATCAATCAAAGTATTCAAAACTCTAACATTCCTCCCAAAGCCATTTCTTTTCGAGTATTGATGAACCCTCCTCCCCAACTCAAGTGCGCCCAAATCAGCACAAGCTGCAAGAACAGCCACTACAGTGACCTCATTAGCCTGCATTCCAATCTTCTCCATCTCCATAAACAACTCAACCCCTTCCTTGGGCTTCCCACAGTGAACACACCCAGAAATCATCATTGTCCACGACCTCACATTTCTCTCAGGCATACGCGAAAAAAACCCATAAGCACCCTCAAAGTCTCCACTTTTCACCAAATGGGCAATCATAACATTCCAACTGACAACATCCCGTTGAGGCATATTATCAAACAACAACCGAGCCGTACCCATTTCTCCACACAATCCATAAAAATTCAGGATCATGTTTTGCAAAACCAAGTTCCATTTAAACCCAAGTTTCTTAACAACCCCATGTACACATTTACCATTTTTATCATCCAACAAAGCCGTGCAGGCCTTGAGAACGAAAGCACAGATGAAACTATCAGGAACAACATCGCATTCGCGTAAACGGCTGGACAAAAGGATTGCCTCAGAAGGGGACTCACTTTCAGCCAAACTTTTCAAGCAAGAGTTCCAAATGACGACTTGGGATTGCGTGAAATGCGTTAAAAGTCGATGGGCGTAAGAGAAGTCGGGAGAGAGAGCACAAACGGAAGCGATATGAGAAGGAGGGAGGAGAGAGAGAGGGGTGTTGGTTTTGATGAGATGGGCATGAGTTTGTTTCCGTTATAGTGGGGAGTTGAAGTTGGAGACAAGGGTTTGTGCTGATGAAGGAAGAGAGTGAAGTGAAAAAGAGAGGGAAACTTGTTGGAAAAATATTTTTTTTTGACTTTTTAGCTTCTCCGAAAGACAAAAGCATATTAAAATAAAAAAAAAATTAAAAACCAATCTATAGAGGTTAGCATAAGTGGTTAAAGATTTAGAGTTTAAATACAAAACAGTCAGATTTGAATCCCACGATTATTTGTTAGTAGACGATTTATAAGTTTGAAAATTTTCAAAAATTTCATAAATTTCATTTGTGAGTTGACAAACAAAAATTCAATAATTATTTAAATTTTTATTATTTTTTCAATCAATTAAACCTTCAAACATTTATTTTCATTAATTAAACCTTTGTTAAAAAAAAATTTGTTAATTATTTTCGTTTAAGAATTCAAAACTTAATTAATTATAATAAAATATTAAAATATTAAAAATATTGAATTTTTGATTGCGGATTTTTTTAATCCTTTTTGTCAATCCAAAACAATATTTACGGTAATAAAAATTGAAGATTAATATAACAAAACATAGATTTAGATACAAAGAAAATGTTATGTTTTATTAGAGGATTTGTATTTCTAGCCTAACCAGGATCTTGCCCAATGAGGGAAAATTTAAGATTAACTGCATTTTTTTAATCTTTGTTATGTAAAAATGGGTTTGATTGCAATGAGAAAAACCTCCATGGAGAAAAAAATCACTTGCTTATGGAATGTCAAGTTGGTTTTGTCATAACTTGATGTGTAAATATTTATAAGCAATGATAATTTAGTGATATGACTTTCTTGGGAGAAATGCATGTAAGTGCATTCTTGAAATGATCAAAACATAAAGCAAATCAAAGATCTTGAACTGGTTCCTTGAACTTGAACTGTGGTCTCCATTTTCAGAACTAATCATGTTCATCTTCTTTAGAGCTTGTTGAACATAGCCCATGCATCCCTCGTGGGTCAGGTTCATCCCTGGCTTCATTCAAGGATAACTGCTTGAAAATGCCATTTTAGACCTGTCTGAGGTGACATCATGAATTCATGACCCATTAACATCCTCGTAGTCAAACTCAATCACTAGGTCAATACATTCAAAACATAATGGCTTTGCATTCTACTTACGAGTTCCAAAACAATGAACTCAAAACACATGTTTCACTAAAGAAATGTTGATGATATCTTCTTGAACTTATGACAAATACCCCATTAATACATCACAACAAAATCTTCTGGCGAATAGAATATCTGTAACCCTATGGTTTGTCAAATTAGTTGTCTACTTCGAGGTTTTCAAGACATGCGTCCGCATCAGCCATTGTCTTCAACCAACCGATGAAGGATCTTACTTGAAGAGTTCTGGATTAAGCCAGTCACTGCAAGCAGAAAGATAACATGTAAAATGACATAGAACCAATCAAATACAGCCAAGTACATCAAATATTTCAACGTTCTTCTGTTAAGAGGAGACCATAGGACTTACTTCTTAATGTCATCAAGGTGGTCATCAAAATCTACAACATCCTGCCATTTCTCAGATGAAATGTAATCCAACAAAACTACATTTGCCACAGGCTCCTTAATTACCAGTCGGCTGCCTCCATCCGGTCCAGCCAGTTTCCAGTTCTTGGATGCATCCCTTATATAAAGCTAATGCATGATGAGACAAATATTACCGTTAACCAAAGGCATAGCAACACTATTGGACCATGAATACCCCATCATTCAACAACTTTTGAAGGAAAATACCTCTAAATGACCAGAGACTGGCATCAAAAGTCAATTTCAAAAAAATCTAATTGAACTTAAACAGTGGCTATTGGAGGCCATATGCTGTAACTAATGCACAAAATCTGATGGTCACTACAAACATTCAATGCAAAATAAGATACTTCCACATCCACTAATGAGCAACAGGAATATTTTGAGAAAGTTTTTTTTACCAGTGGCACTGATATTGTTATGCTCGGCATGTAGCACATATTGACAAAATGACGTTTAAAGCATTAAAAAGGGAAGAAAATCAGGGGATAGGAGTGGCAGTGAATTCACATATGAAATAAATAAATCAGAGCCCTCCCAAGGAGCAACAGACAATTACAGTCACAACATTCACATTAGTTCCTTTGCTATTCAATCCTTTCAAACAACAGACAGCTTATATTTCAAAAGCCAAAGGGCCCTTGCTCCTTTAAGGTATCCGACCTTCTAATTCGGAGAGATTCGGAACGACTACACCTCTGAATAGGGAATAGCAATTAGATTTGCAGCCTACTCTATAGATAGGACTACAACATAGACCAACAAACACAAACCAAATATACAAAACCCCAAGGTTGGCAACGTACTCAGCATGACAGCTGAAGTCACTGGGAGCAGATATGTCAAACAACCTTACATGCATATATGAAGCAACAGAACCTTCAGCTATACCTTCAAGCCCTCTGATTTTAACTCCTATTACAGCAAATCCTAAGAAAGAACTAATGCCAGCTCCCTTCTTGCATCTGCATATAGCTTTTATCCTAAAATTTTCTTCCAACTATAATAGTGCTTTCTTTTTTTTTCCCACATTTACACCGAAAGTAATTACTAAGGCCTTATTCCCGTCACTTCCCCCAAATCAGCCAAAACCAAAAAGGCAATAATTAAAACTCAACAATCACAAGTAAACACAAACCTGCATCACAGGACTCTGGTCTTTCCCCTTGGGCAAAGCTTCAAGCTTTTTGTTATCTAACTACAAAAGAGAAAAACACAAGCAAAACAGAACTGAGACCTATCCCTAACAAGCTTAGCGGCGTATATATATCCAATAAGCAAAATACATTATACAACAATCAAAATACATAACAAGAGAAGAGCAGCTTGGGGAAAGTACCGGCAAATATGATCACCAATATTCTTTGCCACAATGCCAACCTCTGCATCATCAAACCTCTCATGTGCATGGAAATAACTCACAATTCCCAAGCCCTCAGATCCATAATGCTCCTCTACGTGATCAAAGGCAACCCATCAGAACAGCTCTAATATATATATATATATATATATATATATATATATATCATCATCTTCATCATCATCATCATCATCAAATTTCAAAGCCAATAACTTCCAACAAAATAGCCCAAGAGGGACTTTTCTTCAAAAATTAAAAAAAAAAAAAAATTTGACAAATCAACAACAGTTTTTAGCTAACCAATTGAATCTCTGGTCAATACCCAATAATTAAACCACCATAAAACTCAGATTTTTCAAAACCATAAGAGTTCCAAGAGAAAGAAATTATTAAAAGAATAAAAAGCACATTAAAGAAAACCCTAAAAAGAGAATATAGAGACCATGATGAGGGCGATCTCGAGGGGAGGCAATAAAGCAAGATTAGAGTGAAACAGAGGAACTGAGTCAACGATCTCAACGACGTTTTCATTTTGTGGGTTGACTCGGCCGAGTAAGACGCCATTGACCGCCGTGGTTTTGTGCTTCAAAGCATGTAGAACCAACTTCATGTAAGCGTTCTGTGAGATCTCGTACTTCAGCTCGGCCACCATTTTTTTTTTTTGTTTTCTAGATTGGTTAGACTCACTGAGTCTCTGAGTTAATTGGATCGCCGACAATGAGAGTTTGTAGTGAATTCAACTCGGCTCTTTACTTCTGTAGAATTTTGAGTTCAATGCTATTAAGGCTGACAAAAATGGATTTCCTAGGAAGCTGTTAGGAGTAACCAAACGATGCCGTTTATTCCTTTTTTTTATTTTAGTGGAAAAATCAACTCGGCTTGTCAATAATGCATTTTTATTTTCCATTTAATTATCTTTATCACTCGTATTTACGTTTTCTACTATTTTATTTAACATTTTTATTTGCAAAAATTATTTTTATTTTCAATCTGTATTTAGAGTTACATATATCTTTCGCATTGTTTCTTGTTTTTAAAGGTTTTAAAATAAAAAATATAAAAAACGATAACATACAATATGATATATAAAAATATAGATTTTGAGTTTTATAGGAAGCCGGTTTCATTGTTTTGAAAAAATTAGTTAATTCAATGTAGAGATCGAGACGTAAATATGATAATTCATGTATTCGAATATTTGTATTATATAAAATATTTAAATTTTTATAATTATATAATATTTTATATAAAAATTAGTGTTACAATTTTTATTGACTCATAAAATATGAAAACATTTTTTTTTAATTTTATTAAACCCATCATTATTAAAATTTTAAATTATTTTACTTTTATTTTTTTATCATATTCATATTATTAAAATTTTTCGTATTGTGTTTATATTATAGATCATCAAGTCTATCGATGAAATATCGGAGCCAATTATAAAAGCTTTTGACTTTTTGATGGAGTCAATTATTTATAGCTTATTTGCATCTTGAATAGAATTTGCATTTTAGGGTAACACAAAATGCTCTGCAACATTGTTAACATGAAGCAAGCGCTAACAAGTAACAAGACTTCTCCATAAAATCCCATCATATGTTATAAAAATGCTTTGAACACATTTTATATATTGGAAGCCATTATAATCAGAATGAGGATTTTTCCCATCATCAATATCAGCATATCATGCGCACACAACATCCAACATTTTCATCATAACCATCAAGCATATTTCACAATTGTTTGGTAACAGATTTTTTCATTGAATATGAGATGTCCATATTACAATAACATTGAAAAGAAAAAGAGAAGCTTTACATGCTTTTTCACAATTTCACCAACAAAAACCAAAAGTAACAACCTATGAACAATTGTAAAACTACGTCGCCGGACAAGAGCAGTAAGCAGCATACCACCAGGATGATGGAACAAATATATTAAAGCCTGCAAAAAATCTTCCTTCCTAAAGGTATCTCATATGAACATTAGGAATAGGGGGTGATAAGAATACATCCAAATACCAACCAGTTCCTAACAATTTCCAGGCATTTCCTATTTTAATCCCTATAATAGTAGTAGTAAGTTAGGTGATTGAATATCAAACTAACTTATATGTTCTAACATTTATAATTGCAAATCTATGCATTGATCCATGATGAGTCGACATTTGCAGTAATCTAATTGATTGCTAAAAAAGGATTAGACTGACCCAAAGAAGATATAGCATTACTATATAAGAAGCTAAAACAGAACTAAAGCGGATAGAATATCTAACTAGCAAAGTCCAAAACAGGTTGCTATAGTCTACATGACAAACCAAATAAAAATAGACCAGAACAAGGCAATCAAGCACTGATATGAAGGTTTTCTAAACCATACAACAGAACAATAGTCTAACATGATGTGTCCTCTGATCTTGATAGCCTTCCCCACATGCTATAATTAGAAGACTTCTATTACTTGTGTCAGAAAGTGCCTAGTGATGCACAATGCAGATCTAAGGAGCCTGTATGGAACTTCTATGGCAAATCACAATGCCTTCATTCTATCTTGCATATGGATGGTATCGACTACTGCTACTATAGCCTCCCCTTCCATAGAGCCCACCTGCTCCACCATAACTAGCACCAGGACCATATTCATAACCACCACCATAGCCTGTACCTGCATAACTACCATAACCATCACCTCCTCGGCCATAGCTGCCTACACCACTTCCACCATAACCCCCTCCAAAGCCACCAACATAACCAAAGCGGCCAGAATAACCAAGGGAAGATTCACCTCGGTAGCCTCCTAAGCTATTGCCTCCAAAACCCCCATAACCTCCACCAAATTCACTACCACCACTACCATACCCATAATCACCACTGAGTCTACCACCAAGACTCACAGGTGTTCTATAAGGAACAGGACCAAATCCTCCATTAAAACCCCCATATGAACCACCATATCCACCAAAGCCATCATCATAAGAACGGCCCCTAGAGTTGCTACTGTATGCAGGAGCAGGTGGTGGGTTTGAGGCTTTCTTTGGTTCAGCTTTCTTGATCTCCACCTACAGCAAAGCAACTTAGTTAACCTAAGTTTGGCTGCGTGTAAACTAAATTGATAGCCCTTTCCCAGGGGAGATCTACACATGTATCAATCTCCACCTATAATTTGAAACATAAACCACTGGGGTAGTTTATGTGGTTTGGTACTGAAAATTAATCGAACTAGCAAGCCTACTATTATATATATTAATAAGATAAATGGAAAATGCAAAAATGCAAACTCCACCAAAACCTTTTTACATGCTGATTCTTGGAAGGTATGTCCAATTTCACTAAGCTTACCAAGTTACCTGCCATATCAATCATATTTCCTTTTGATAACATATCATCTATAACCTCTTCACTGTCAAAAATTATAAAGCCAAAGCCACGAGACCTATTGGTTGCATGATCACGAATAATTTGGTGCTTCATCACAGTTCCATACTTGGAGAAGAAACTCCTTAATTCATCTGAATAATAAAGCACCACACAGACAAGATTTTATATTAAGCAACACTTTCATACTCACTCTACTACTAAAATGAAAATACCTAAGACCTGGCATTCATACCTTCCATGATTGAGGATGGTATACCACCGACAAATATCTTTTTTGTCTTAAAATCCTTTAACTGACTAGAGACTTTAGGAATTGTCCTCTTTATCTCAACCTGCTTAAAGTTGATTTTGTGAGCATCTTCCATGGTTTGTTTAAAGAATAATAATATTATACAAAAACCAAAATTTCATAGTTCATTGACCAAAAACTTTCACCAACATCCTAATTACGCTACATATTTCAAGCATCAGCTACCTGATATCATGGCAGAATAACTCTATAATTGGTTTTACCCATGATTGCTTTCAACCACAAAAGAAAGATTATTGACTAGTAAAAACTTCTCAACCATAAATATAAAACACAATTAAAGCATAATCCGGGAAAAAAAGTACTAAATTTATTGTATCCTCAATTTTGTAATGTTACAAATATATTTACCTGTTTTCCATTGATGACATGGTCTTCTTCAATGACCTTGTCCACAACAGATGGATCAGCATATGTAATAAATCCAAAACCGCGAGGCTGACCAGTGTATCGATCTTTCATAATTACAGAATCTATTATCTCCCCGTACTTTCCCAAATTGCTTATTAAATTGAGCTGAAGATCCATCAATTCAATGGCATTAGAAATTAAACAACAAATCAACAAACGAATTAGTTCCTAAAATAATAACCCAAAAAATCTAATAATCAACAAAATTAAATCCAATTCAATAAATCTGAAAAAAAAAAAAAGAAAGAATAAATATAGAGACTCACGAGTCACGAAAGGTAGCCTCTTTGGCCAGTCCTCCGATAAAAATATTCCTGCAAATAAAAAAAATTTAATATAAAGAACTTGTCTAGACGAATTGGATAACAAAAAAAGAAGAATTTGATCGAAAGTTTTTCTCAGGAACCAAACATGTGAATTTTTTAATTGAATCGAGAGGCAAAAAGAAAGATACTAACCCGGGGCTAGCTCCATCCCCACTGAGGGGGTTATGGTTCTTGGATTTGGAACGCATTCGATTAATTCGCTTTGTTTGTTTGTCGGGAAAATAATTTAGGGGAAATCGAAGGCGGATTACGATTTTTTACGATGAGAACGTTAGTGGAGAATATGTAAAAAAGACATGCTTTTTTTATGAATAACAGGTTTGCCACCGAAAAAAGTAACAAATAGACAAATATATAGACCGACATCTCTGTTAGCCACGTAAGATTATAGATAGCGACACGACCGAGTCAGGTTGTCTTGTCGGCTTGATGGTTTAAGGAATCGAGGTAAAGATCTGTACTGAAATTAAGGATACTAAGGATAACTAATGACATTGATATCACATTTATTTTGTCTTTGATTAATTAATAAGTTTATTTTGCTAATTAAAAAATAGTTTTAATTTTTTTTGAAAATACTAATCGTATTTTGAGTTAAAATAATTAATTACTATATTTAGATTTTAGACTATAATTTTTCATTTTTTGTTAATTATCCCTTTCGTTTTTTTTTTTCATTTTTTTAGATATTTTTAAATTATATATTTTTTAAATATCTAAAATTCTTATTTTTTATAAATTTTTTTTATTTTTTGACATTAAAAATCATAAAATTTTAATATTGTATATATTAAAATTAATTTTTTTAAAAAATTCGTGTATTAAAATTAATATTGAGATATTTTTTATTAAAAAAACTATGGCTTCCAAATTTTTATTGTACTTTTTCAAATTTTTTTATTTTCAATTTCTTACATAAAAAGTTAAGCACATACTTTTTCTTTTTATTTAGCAAAGTTGACCCATAAAAACCTTATATTTGTTTCATGGTAATAAAAATGAAAAATACGGAAAAAAGGGTTGTGGTAGATCAAGTAATGTAATCCATATCTATAATTGATGCTTCATTGATTCCCTTTAGCCTTCAAATCTAAAGCAATTGAACTCATTTCAAAAGGTACAAAAAGCACATGCACATTATTATTCCCTTACAAAGGTGCAATGAAAAAAAAAAATCTAATTTCATGAACTAATTCCCTCGACACTTCACAAAGTGTTGTACTAACACTTTTCACAATTCTCCTATTAATTTATTTTCCTTATGAAAAACACCTATTATATGAATATTTCTATATTTCTTTATTTTAAAGTAGAATATTAGTGTAGTTTTCTTTGTTTTTCTCGTAAAAGATATATAAATTATTTCAATTTCAATTAGCATATGTCATGTAATAAACTTAATTAAGTCATTCTATTAGAGCCCTCGTTCAATAATGATTTGATTCTTACAAGAATTATAGTTAAGGATGTAATCAAATCGAATTAAATTAATATAATGAAAATTTTGAGTTCGATTTGAAATTCATTTTTTAAAATTTAAATTATAAGTTGATCGAGTTTTAAATTTTAAATTCAAACTTAATTTGAGATAAAAATCAAATTATTCAAATTTTCTCAATTAAACTTACTTATTGAATAAAAAACACTTAATTTTTATACTCAATTTCAAATCTTGATTATTTGTTTTTCAGCTTGAATTCAAGCTCAAATATATAAATAATTGTAAGGGCAAATAATAAATTTTTAATTAAATTAATTATAATATATTAAAAAATAAAATTTTGATTAAATTGGTGAGCTACTTGAATTGGATATTATGATATTTAAACTCAACTTATTTGATAAGTCGAGTTGTTTGAATATAACTCAACAATGATTAAGTTGAATTTGAGTTTTATCCTAATTAAATTAAAATAATTTTACAAATATTAATATATTATTTATATATTTAACTTTGGTACGTTACAAATAAATTAAAAAACCTTTAAATTCCTTTAATAATACAATAAAAATGGAATTTCAATGGTTAAAGTGCAGTTTAATGTATGTAAGACATTTTGAAAATTTTTAATAAACAAATTTAATTTAAATAATAGGCATCAATTTAAATCTATCTTTTACAGAAAAAAAAAAAGCTTAAATAAATGAAACTAGCAATATAAACACGTTTTTATGTTAGGAATGGGTATCCAACTGCAAAGGAAAAAATAGTAAGAATCTTGAATTGACCTGATTATTTCACATATTTTAATTGATAAATAAGATTTTTTTAATAAAGATAAAATAATATTTTTATATTAATTAAATTCCCTCTACAAAAACAGAAAAGCGACACCCATTATCAGAAATTATAATTTTATTCATACTAATAATCTTAATTATAAGGAAATAAATACAATAAATACTAAAATAAAATAAAAAGAAAAACCTTTGCGTCTCTTCTCATTTTCTCACTTTTTTTTTTTATAGACAAATAACTAATTATATCATTATTTAAGAATATAAATGATATATCAATACTTATAAATTATTTAAATTTAATTTGATCATTATTAAATTAAACTCAAGCTTGAATACTTTATTTTATTGAATGAATCAAATTTAAATATTTTAATATTCAAATCAAAAAAAGCATAAGTTTAATAAAAATTTTAAATTTTAATATATTTTTATTATTTTAATTAAAAGTTATTATTTTACTTTTATATATATTTTAATTCGAATTCAAACTCTAATTTAAGCATATAATTAAATTTAAAATAGAGTATGAAAATCGAATTTATCTTTTAAAAAAATTATAATAAAATAAATTTAAATAATTTAATTTTTATTTTAAATCAAATTAAAATTTAAAAATTAAAATTCAATTAAACTTGAACTAAATTTTAAATAATAAATTTTAAATTAAAATTAATTTTTTTATTATTTCAATTCAATTAAGCTTGGGCTCAACTTAATTACGTCGATACTCTCGTTATTTATACAACATCAATTAAAAACTCCAAAAAGTATTTACGATTTTTTTTTTCACAATTCCTCCTCTTGTATTATGCCCTAAGTTATTATTGTAACTATAAATACATAGCACATTCAATTTTCTCTTCTTCTGTTCTTTGCTTCTTTCTCCCCTTTTGTCCTCCCCTGTTTCTTTTTATCTTTCTTTGCTACCATGAGCAGCAAAGGTGGCGGCGGCGGCGGCGGCGGCCGTGGAGGTGGCGGTGAGGGGTCAAGGGTTTCAATCCCAGACAATGTAAGGGAAACGATCCAAAGCATTAGGGAGATCACAGGGAAGCAACACAGTGATGAAGAAATCTATGCAGTCCTCAAAGAGTTTTCTATGGATCCTAATGAAACTGCCCAAAAGCTTCTTTATTTGGGTAAAAACAAAGATTTAGATGTTTCTTTTTGGACTTCTTTATATGTTTTGTATGTTTTTCTTGCTTCTTTTTTAGGGTTTTGCCATTTATAAGGGTTTGCTGGGTTTATGATCTGTTTTTGTGGGTTTTGTGTTTAAAGTTTCAAGAAAGTTGGGATTTTTGAGAGGTTGGATTTTCTTGCTTTTTCGTATGTTTTTGCTAATGGAAAGTGGATTGTCCATCGTTTGGTTTGTTGGTTTCATGTTTTGTGTTGCAATAGTGAAGAAAGTTAAGATTTTGAGAGGTTGGATTTTCTTACTTTTCGTATGTTTTTGCTAATGGAAAGTGGATTGTCCATTTTGTTGGTTTCATGTTTTGTGTTGCAGCAGTGAAGAAAGTTAAGATTTTGAGAGGTTGGATTTTCTTGCTTTTCGTATGTTTTTGCTAATGGAAAGTGGATTGTCCATCGTTTGGTTTGTTGGTTGCATGTTTTGTGTTGCAATAGGGAAGAAAGTTAAGATTTTGAGTGGTTGGATTTTCTTGCATTTCGTATGTTTTTGCTAATGGAATGTGGATTCGTTTGGTTTGTTGGTTTCATGTTTTGTGTTGCAATAGTGAAGAAACTTAAGATTTTGAGAGGTGGGATTGGCTTGTTTTTGTGTGTTTTGCTAATCGAAAGTGAAGCTTGCTCTGTTTGGTTTCTTGGTTTTGTTTTTGTCAGGAAGAATGTTGTTTGGTTGCTGGGAAATGAGAGTAGATTAAAGAAATTCAATATATTGAATAATATTTATCAGCTATAGCTGTCTGTAGATCTCTTTGTTTTATTTTTTCAATCTTTGTCCTGTTGATTAGACTTTTAAGTAATTAGTTTTTACCATCATCATTTGATAATGTTGTTCAAAGCAACAAATCATTGTTCTAAAATTTTTCATCCTTGGTTTGGTGGTCAATGGTAGATAAAATTTTCTTTAAGTCAAAAACCACCGTGTCTAACTTAAATGCATGAAAATGCTTAAACAGCTCATTGCTGGTAAGTAATTTTTCTTCTTTGTTCTATTGAAGTGTGCTTTCTGGATTGACATACTGAGAGCAGCATTATTTTTTTTTTTTTGGGGATATTCTAATTGCATTTAGTGCATACTTTGTTCTTGCATAATGTATCTTACGCTTTACTTTTTGAAATTATGACTATCACATTGTTTGGTTGGCAGATACATTTTATGAGGTGAAAAGAAAACGCGATAAGAAAAAGGAGGCAAGTGTTCATTTCCTTTCCAATGCGAAAACAAAACCTTTTTCATTTTAATCTTCTTTACTTCCCACCTGCTGTTAGAATTTTGGGTAAAAGGGAAGTGCCATGTCTGTTGATGTTACAAAGAAACATTAAGATACATTTGTAGCTTCCACAGAACTGATTACAAATATATTGTTACTTATCCTTTACATTCATCCATGATAAGAACTCCAGCTGCATTCAATAATTTGAATAACTGGATATGCATGCAGTGTTAAAACTTGCAATGGTTGTGCTTTTCATCCAAGATAGATTGAAGAACTGAATGTCTAGTAGAGCCAGGCTTCCATAGTTGGGAGGGGAAGGTGGCGATAAAATGAGTGGTGTTATCTTGCATTAGACCTGGCAATTCATGTCACTGTGTCATATAAAATATTATATTCGTATTATATTTTATACGAAAATCTTGTGTCACAGTTCGTCTTGATACTAAAGCATAAAATATAATTTTTTGGTTTTATTAAACATATTTATAGTTTTTCTAAAATTTTAAGCCGTATTATTTCTATGTTCTCTATTTGTATCATTTTCAGGTCATGTCACCATGTCGTGTTTCAAATTGTCAAGTCTATCCTGCATCGGTTGGCATTGACATTTTTTGTAGTTTTATGTTCCAGTTAGATCTCTTCATCTATTACCAATTGGTTTTGGATGGGATTAAATGGTACCTACACTAGATGATAATCGAGAATATAATAAAGAAAATAGAAAGTTGTTAGATGGAAATGTTGGGATGAAGGAAGATGCCAACAGTTGCGTGATGTATTGGTAAAATGCTAAATTTTGAATTTTAGTCTAGAGTAAAAAGAAACTTGGCAGTCAATTAACATTATATTTTAAGAAAATAGCCTTAGTAAAGAAATTTTGAAATTTTAATGACCCCAGAAGCATGTTTTTGGCTTTGCATGTCTCTTGATGTTGCTTTTTAATGTGCAGTTGACATTGAAAGAATTGACTGCCGAGAACAGTTTCCTGAAACCAGGGTATGATCGGTTGACTGATGAGATAAGAGAGTTAAAAGTGTATATTAAATAGCTGCATCCCAATCGGCAATTTCCAGACCAAGATTTAAACAAATTAGAGTTATATTTCCGAATCAGCCAGCCAGCAGCATGATAATGAAAGTCTTTTTGTCCAGGTAGCAATCCTTGGCTTCTGAAGAGTGTTAGCGTAGAAACTCATAGTCATATCTACTCTGTTTTATATCTTAGGGACTGATGTCATACCTGCACTCATTCTTTGACAAAAGAAATATGTATCTGATAAGCATAAATCAAGAGGAAAAAGTGACATTTGTTGCAGCTTTTGCTTTTTCACTAATATTACTATCATTCTTGCTGTCAATGAAAATTCTTTTTTGTTATTGCTGCTAATACATTCTAAGCAATTTAAGGTAATTTGGAAATTAGAGGATATCATGAATAAGTTTTCTCTCTCCATTTTGGCAGATTAAATTATATATATTCCTCTGAAGCAAACAGTAAGAACTCCCAATACCTTTCTCTGTTTGAATTACAGCATTTCCAAGCATCATTTTTGGAGTGAACTTTTTGTTGTTTGATATGACACTTGTCATGTGATTACTGGAAGTCAAACCAAAGACATCAATTACTCCTACCTTTTCTATCCCTTTCTCCTTATTTTCAGGACTGACCTATCTGTTTCTTGCAAGTTGCAGGATCACCATGGAACTAACGCTGGAGCTACTGACAGGGCATGGCAAATCCTCTTAACTTAGACGCTTCTAATTGGGTTTTAGATATCTTATCTTGCTTGTCTAATAATCTCATACTAAACCATCCTTTTGTAAGCATCTAATATTGGAATCATGGTTTATTTCTTCTCAACTTTTTGTTTCAGCTAACCGGTTTAGAAGGGAATGACTTAGACTTGCAAAATCCGAAGATTCCAATTACTGCGGTTGCCACCAATACACCCATTGCCCAACTTTTTATGCAAAAAATTGAGGCAGACGATGATAGCAATGTTTGCTTCTCAGACTTCACAGGCTTAGATGGAGAGTACGTAAAAGTTGGGAGATATAGTTTTCCAATCTCTCTGCAGCCTGTTGTAGAGAGAATCATTGCTGTCTATGGTGATGTCTCTGCAACAACTAAGATGAACCTGTTTATTGCTGAGGCAACATATATTCTGTTCTGCGCTTCTGTCAAAGAGATGGGTGATCTACAGCTTGAGCAAGTGACTGAGGATAGAATATTGAAGTGCAGAGAGATGCAATCAAGGATGCTTTACGCATTAATTTCAAGGTGGACTTTGCCATGGAACATTTGAAGAAAATTGCCTGTGCTTATGTTAGTCATATCGAAAGCCAAGAGCTTGAGAGCTTGGGTGAAAGGATCTCAAAACTGGAGGCTGACTTGAATGCCAGAAGAGAGGAACTTGCTAAGAGAAAAGAGCAGTGCAAGAAGTACATGGATGCTGCTAAGGAGTTTAATGGCAAGTCTCTCAGCCTATTTCCGTAACCTGCATATAGCAGATGTATGTTAATTCTTTTTCTGAGCATGCTAACACATGTTAATATTGATTATCAGCATCCAGTGAAAACTTTTGATCCAAGTTTCATTTATAGAACATATTGCATAAAAGGTTAATTGTTGTATTGACAAATTTAGATATGGTTATTTGGAGTTCTCACCTTTATCTCCTTTTTTTTTCCTTAATCTCTTGAAATTTCATATGTATTTATTATTGTCACCATGCTAATTAAAATATTGGTTAATGTAGCAAAACTCAAAGGTAAAGTTTGGGTTCGACAAATAAAATAATAGTGATCGTATCTTTTCTCTTATAAGATACATGATTTTAAAAGACGAGAATTCGAATCCAGCTCAAAAATAAAAACAGCATACATAACGTTCGAAAGCCATATACATACATGTAATCAAGCAAACCACAAAGATAATTTATTACAAGCTCTCGAAACGTAACATGAAACGCTCCCCACCTGCTTATTTCTAGCAAAAACAACAAACCCTTTTCTTATAATCTTCAAACATCCATACAACTATCCAAACGTTGGGTCTCAAACTAAGACATCCAAAATTCTGACAATACAGTACATAAACACATATTAAAAAAAGCCAGCGGCAGCAGCTTACTTTGATATTTTAGCCCCGGAGCCACTCTTTGTCTTTGGTCCAACTTTAAAATTGGAAAAACATATGGCCATACAAGTCCTGCTCCTGGTATTCTCCATGATCGAAATATCTTTCTTTTTCTCTTGTTCCTTTTCAATCTCAAGATTAGAGCAACATAACAGGAAACAAGTCCTCTTCCTGTTTTTCTTATGCTTCTTTTTCGGGCCGTCGACCATGGGATCAGGCCCCCGAATCACCTGAACAGCTTTTGCCTCCTGAGAGGACACCGTGACGATGTCTTTGACGTTTGCATTTTCAGTGTAACCCATGACTTGATTTGCATCAAAATTTGCAGGTTCCTACAAATTAGAAAAATACATACATACAGCTTAAATATATATAAAGGGAAAAGTCAAAGGCTGAGAACATTTCTTAGCAGATATTGATCTTAAAATTTTAAAACCAAATTTAAATTAAGGTAAGGTTTTGAATTCAAATTTCAATATTTGTAATCTATTTTTTTATACTAAACTATGACTATTTTTGTAAATTATTCCGGTTGACCGATTAAATCTCAAACAATCTTAATTGCTTCCGGCGGAAGGCAACTTAAAAAGTCTTTTATATAGACTATTGTTTTGATATTCACAGGAAAAAGACATTGATTATGATAAGAAAACATTTTATTTTGAGAAAGATGATAAGAAAAGATTTAATTTGTTTTACAAACACTAGCGGATGGCGTAACACTTAAACTAATTCAATGTCTAATTAAATTTATTTATAATTGTGGACATCAAATTTATCCGATCATAGAAAATAAATAAATAAAATAATAATATTATTATTAAATACAATAATAAATTAAACAAAATTATCAAAATATAAAATACAATAAAAAAATAAAGACCGGTGATAATGGTGCCTAGCGTGGCATCGTTGGCCACCTTATCCCACCATTCTGCGCACCCATAGCACCGACCGCCTTACTTTATCACCTATACCATTACCATCACTCAATTGGATAAAACAAAAAAAAAAATAATAATAGGGCATGGGGCTCGTGCTTACACCCTATGCCGAGCCATGTGCCCTTCCCTCAAGCACACGTATGGTCGGAACTCTATAAATAGAGCTCCTAGTCGAACACAAAGAAAAAAGAAAGAAGCTACAAAAAAGGCTGTAAAAAAAAAAGCTTTCTGTCCAAAAAAAAAACAAAAGCTTAGTCCTCTCCGCAGGGATGAACCCAATGCTGAGATCCCCTGCACAAAGACAAAAAACAAAGTCAATTTCAAAAAAAAAAAAGTTAGAATATTCAAAAAAAAAAAATTTCACCAAAACTTCGAAAGCAGATCTAAAGAATTTGGGACACTTTTAGGTGAACCCAAGCTCAGATCTGTGCTCAGGAGGCAGGGGGAACATTTTGGTGTTTTTGGACATTTTTTGACGATCGACCGGCGACTACCGACGGTGGTTTGATCCTATTTCAGATTTTAAATTTTAAAGTTGTTAAGCTTCTGTTGAGAGAAGCTTTTTTAAGATAGATTTTAAAGTTGTTGAGCTTCTGTTGAGAGGAGCTTTTTCAAGAGAATTTTTAAAGTTGTTGACCTCTATTGAGAGGAGCTTTTCTAAAAGAATTTTAAAAGTTGTTGAGCCTCTGCTGAGATGAGCCCTTTTCAAGATGAGATTTTTAAAGTTGTTGAGCCTCTGCTGAGAGGAGCTTTTTCAAAATAAGATTTCAAAAATTGTTAAGCCTCTGCTGAGAGGAGTTTTTTCAAGATGAAATTTTTAAAGTTGTTGAGCCTCTGCTGAGATGAGCCCTTTTTAAGATAAGATTTTTAAAGTTATTGAGCTTTTGCTGATATGAGTTTTTTTTCAGATTTTAAATTTTCAAAAGTTATCGAGCCTCAAGTGAAAGAAGCATTTTTTATTTGAAAAAAAAAACCTTTTTGAGTAGTCTATGTTCAAAAAAAAAAAAAAAGAAAAATCGTTTCGATTTCGGATAAAATTGTTGTCTTTGTTTTTACCCTATTACTGATTATCGATAATGTGCAAAGAGAAGCAACTGTAGACATCAAATTTGTCCGGTCACAGAAAAAAATAATAAATAAAATAATAATATTATTAAATACAATAATAAATTAAACAAAAATATCAAAATATAAAATACAATAAAAAAATAAAAACAAAAAATAAAAAAATGAAGACCGATGGTAGTGATGCTAGACGCAGCATTGCTAGCCACCTTACCTCACCCTTCTGTGCACCCATACCACTGGCCACTTTACCTTACCACTCATATCACTATCTTTGCTCAGTTGGATAAAACATAAAACAATAATATGGCATGGGGCTCGTGCTTACATTCCATGCCGAGCCTTGTGCCCTTCCCTCAAGTACACACACGGTCGGAGCTCTATAAATAGAGCTCCTGGTCGAACACAAAGAAAAAAGAAGAAAGCTGCAAAAAAAAGCTTTCTACCCAAAAAAAAAAAACAAAAGCTCAGTCCACCCCACAAGGAGGAACCTAGCGCCGAGAGCTCCTGCATAAAAGAAAAAAAATAAAGTCAGTTTAAAAAAAAAAAGAAGTCAGAATATCCAAAAAAAAAAATTCACCAAAACTTTGAGAGTAGATCTAAGGAATTTGGGACACTTTTTAGGTGAACCTAAGCTCAGATCTGTGCTCAAGAAGCAGGGGAAATATTTTTGTATTTTTGGGCATTTTTTGATGATCGACCGACGACTATCGATGGTGGTCGGAGCGACGGCGATGACGGTTTAACCGACCGACCGATCAATTAAAGAGAGGAGCTCTGAAGAGCGTAGAGAGAGAGAGAATGGGGATGAGAAAATGAGAGAAAATTTTTTTTTTAAACTTTTATAGAAAGCTGAAAGCCAAAATGACATTGTTTCATTAAACGCCTAAAACGACATCATTTTAACCTCTGAGGATCCGCGCACCTGACCTGCGACCTGTGTCTCCTTCAACCCCTGACCGATCCATCTAAATGGCTGAAACTGAATAGGACCACCCCGACCAGCTGACACTATATCGAACGTCGGACAAAACCCATGTTGACCAGACCATTGATCGGTTCGATTCAGGTAAAAAAAAATTTTTTTTTAATTTTTTTTTGAATTTTTATATATTATTTTATTGATATTTATGCATATTAAAATATTTACACTTGTTAGATTAAATGATAAAATTTTTAATTTTGTTAATTTTTTAAAATAAACTTTAAAAACAAAATAAAATAAAAATAAATTTAATAATAATACAAAACTAATAAAAAATGTAGGAAAAAGAAATTCTTATCCGACGATGAGATTCAAATGTATTCCGAGTAGTGATACCTATGAAATATCTAGGTGAGAAAATTTTTTTTAAATACTATCAGTGTATTGGAGTATTTATAAAAAAAATTTCAATAAAATAAAAATTTTTCTTTTTTTTTGTTATAAAATGATAATAATAAAATTAACTAATAAATTAAAAATAGTTAATAAAAAATGAGAAAAATAGAAATTTTGTCCGATGATGGGATTCCAAAAGTATTCCGAGTAAAGATGCTTTAAGAAATCCCTAGGTAAGAAGATTTTTTCTTAAATATTACCAATGTAATGAAATATTTATAAAAAATCTTCAATACAATAAAAATTCTTCTATTCTTCATTTCTTTTAGATAAGAATAATAATAAAAATTAATAAAATTTTCTAAAAAATAAAAAATAAAATGTGTGCATCATGTTATTATTTGCATTGCATGCATGATATAATTTTTACGAAAAGTAAATTCGAACCTTCGATGATGAGATTCTTAAGTATTCCGAGAAGCAATGCCTAAGAAATTTCTAGGTGAGAAAGAATTCTTCTAATATTACCGACTTACTAGAGTATTTTGAGAATTATTCAATAAAAAAGATTCTAATTTATTTTTCTCGAATAAAATTTGAATAATAATTTTTTTAAAATAAAACCAAACAAACCAATTTCCAATAAAAAAATCAAGAAAATTATTTTTTCAAACACCGAGAATGAGACTATTTTTAATCAAAATCAAAGGATAACACGTATAAGTGGTACTATTTTTAAACGGACGTCGTGGGGGTGCTAATCTTTTCTTCACGCGTAATCGACTCTCAAATCCAGACTGTTTCGTAGACCGTAAAATTATTTTTTTAATAAATTTTAATTAATTTTAAAATATTATTAGAAGGATAAATTTTAATAGGTGATTAATCGCACATAACCAAAAAAAATTGTTAACGACTCCATTTTTCATTCTTTTATTTTCATTTTCAAATTTATCAAACGGACACAAAACCGTTACAACAATAATTAATTCCGGTTCTAATTAATTTCGGTTCTTGTCAATTGTTATCTCTTTAATTAACAAACCATTTCACAAATTTTTTTTAATATTATCAATTAGTTATTACAAATTATTATATATAGCATCTAGAAAGAACAGCATTACCCGTTGCATTTTTTCCTCTAAAAAACTGAGTTTGTGTTTGGATTCGTGCATGCTGCTGATGGAGTGGATTGTGAAATCAGATTTATAAAAGAAAAAAAAATGAGAGCATAGTGTGGTTACTCAGTCATGCTTGTTCTTTGACAAATTCCTAGCATGGTTAAGTTCTCCACATATATTTCTCACAAAGAAACGAGGATTATATTTTCTCCCATAGGAAAATGTTGCTCATAGTAGAATTTGAATTCTTACTTAAACGTCATGATCATTACATAACTAATTGAATAATCTTAAATTGTTAAATTCTTTTTTTTTTTTTTGTAATTAAATCTCAATCTTACAAGATCTTATTCTGTTTCTCTTCATTTTATTTCAACTTTTCAAATGGAATCTCAGGGAAAAATACAAAGATATTTTAGTCATATTCAGGCCCTTCCAAATGCATCTACATCGTTGCTTAGTGAAAATCATAAAGCAACTTGCTAAACGTTGTTGACTTTCAATTTTACAATAACTTGGGCTCGAAGGACCAGAAATCATAAAAATATATCAATGAAAATGACTTCTACTGAAAAATTATTCACACTTTATTTAATTACAGACTAGAACTCCAAAAAAAAAAAAGCAACAATTGTTTATAATTAGATATATTACAATAAAATCACATTTTATCCAAAAACTACAAATCAAGCTAATTAAATCATTTTTCTTTACACACAGCCATATAAAAATTTTTATTTATTTTACAATATCCCCAAAAATAAATTCTTAGGTATTTTATATTTTAAGAGCTATTTTTCTTAATCTTTTATAATTTTTTCTAATCTCAACTTTTTTTCCAAATGGAAAGGAAAAGTAGCTCCAATTTGCCAAGCTAAACCTCACTTGGCAATCTTCTTCGGCCCAAATTCATCGTTAGGACCAACTTGAAAATTGGAACAACACATCACCATGGCAAGTTTGCTGTTTTCACCCTTAAAAAACGCCAAGGTTTTTTCCTTTTCCTCCTCGTTCTCAAACTGCATGTTGGAGCAACACATGAACAAACACCTTTTCTTCTTGTTCTTGTTCATCTTCTTCCCTTTAGAGCGTGAAACGTCCACAGCCGGGGGCGGCATATCCATGGCAGCCGCAGGAAGCATCTTAATGTTGCTTTCATGAGGGGTCGCCGTGGTGGAAACGGCCATGTGCTCAGTAGTCTTGGTGGTCTCGGTATAGCTAGCCATAGCTTGCTTTAAAATTTTCGATGTGCAAACTAATGGAAAAAATATAAGCATATATAAAGGGCAAAGTCAACTAAGCAGATAATGTTTTAGACTTTAGATACGTGTATGATAAGCAATTGAATAAAAAACAAAGTTATATAAAAAAAATTTATTTAACGATTAGTCTATATGAATCACATAGCCAACAATAACCGTATAATCTGTTAATAATATATTAAAATTTTAATTTTAGGAAAAATTCTAATAACTTCAAGCAAAAAAAAAAAACTTGAATTATGTAACGTTTTGTGAATAATTTCATGATTTTTAATGTTTTTTTCAAGGTTTGTTGCTTTGTTCTATGGGCATTACCAATAGGGATTATAGTAATACAGGATAAAAGAAATGGATTTTATGAAGAACATTGGGTTACGCCCATTGAATTCTAAAAAAAGTAAAAAAAAAAAACAAATGGAAGACTAGAAAAATGAGAATAAAAGAGGATAGGAAACAATTGAAGGTTGTTTCTTGTGGTACCGGCAGCTCAATGGCTAGAGGTTTCTTCAGCACATTATTTGGCAATTGAAGTTTCTAAATAACCGGCGGAGTTTTTTCTTTTTTTCTTGCCATAATAAACATACATCTATGCTACTCTTAAACCCACCACCCAACCTATTTGACAATTAACATCCTGGCCGGATGAGATCGCGGGTGGCATTGAACCAAAACTCAGTTGGCAACCGGCCAACCAGCAAAGATTTCATATTTGAAAATGTAAGACTTGGTATTAAAACAATATTTTAATTTTCTTAATTATAGTATTGACAACATCGATGGCTAATTATGAAAAGGGTTAAAAATAATTTTTAAAATACGATTTTTGTTCTTTTGGTTTGCTAAAGCCAAGATGATTGTTAAATATAAGACAAGTTGTGGAAAACTATTTGTTCAACCCCTTTGTTTTGCACTTAACCTGTTGGTTAAAAAGTTAAAAAACAGAGTGAAACAAATCAAAAGAAAGAAAAGCAATCCTCAACGTCTGGTTATTATTCAACTGCTTTTCTCTCTCTCTCAAACTGTACTCTGAAAGCTCATTTCTTCATTAAAAGCTAAACCCATAAAAAAAGAATTCCAATAACATTGCTCCTCATCTCGAATCTGACTGTTAAAGGGGTCTACAATTGATCATCTAAGATGTCATATTTTCACTTGTAAGTTACTCTCTCTGTCTGGAACAGTTAACTTTTCTAAAGAAATGAATAAAACAATATTGCCTTTCCTGTTGTTTGTGGCTTAATTGACCATTTGAAAAGGCTTTGTCTTTTCAATTCTAGGTTGATTTTGAATTTGGGTCTTAAATGTTGTAGAGATTCTTTTAGTAAAAGTATCAAATTTGCTTTTCTTGTGGATACCTTGTCTAACTGGAAAATAAAGGATAATGCTTTGATGATTCATGATTCTAATAACAGAAATGCAACATTGAAATTATAGGCTTGAATTGCCAACAAATATGAAATTTCTTACAGTCTTGCATTGGAGGGACCAAAACTCTGAATTCTGCTAGTCCTATTTGCTAAATTCTGTATAGTGGGATGAATTCCATGAACCTGGAAAATATCCTACAATGGTTAAAGAGGAAAGGGTTTTTGACTGATATTTGAAATGTTTTGCTTATTGTGATTCGTTGGACTGGTCACATTGTGATTTATGGCATTGGCGTGCTAGGAACTTTATGAATTTTGCCAGTAGCTTGAGTTTTGATGTGCAGCCTAACAGAATTTGGAAATTGGAATTATTAGCATTGCCATGTGGTAATCTTTTTCGCCACTGGACCACAATGCATTTCCCATGTATTCTTGTTGCATGGTGAACTCATGGATAAAACTTGTTTGAATGATTCATTGTATTGTCAAGTACTTGTTTGAAAGAGAAAACTACATGATTGACATTCTTGTGATTGTAGTGAAGTTCTATTATCATAGAAAAGCTGTGATTGTTCTTCTTGTCTAGTCTACACAGCATTGATCTTTTTTATGCAATGTCTTTAAAATCAAAAGCATACTCTCATTAACTTATACTCCTAGGTTTTTTTGCATTCAAAGGAATGATTTTATATGCTCAAAAAGTTGCTTCAGCATCAAGACTGTTCCAAAGTATAACCTTTTTTTTTTTTTTTGGAGTTTTGACCCACCAGGAGATTGTCTGTTCGACATCCACCTTCCAGTCATGTTCCATACACCCTTTTGTGGCCTCTTTCCTCTGTGGAGGATTATACGCCTTCCCATCCAAACATATTGCAGTCAAATTACCATAAATTTGTTATAAAGAAAGTATATTTCTCATACTCCCTTAGATGTTCCTTGAGTCTTCAACCTGTTAGAGCCTTGCAAACTTCCATGGGTGCAGGCAACACTAGTTGGTCAAAAGATAGTCTAAAATCAATACAGATGCAAAACTTGAGTGAGGAGGCTCAGGTATATGGTTGTTATAGCTCTCAGGAATACTCTAATGATGAAGACTACAAGGAAAAGCAAAGGAGGAGGAAGATAGGGCTGGCAAATAAAGGGAGGGTGCCATGGAACAAAGGCCGGAAACATAGTGCTGGTAACTCTGTCCTAAAATTTAAATTAATCGCTTTGGTTTCAATCTTTATGCAGCTAGTGAATTCCTAAGTCTTAAATTTTGTATCATGTAGAGACACGTTTACGAATCAAGCAAAGAACAATAGAAGCCTTGAATGATCCCAAGGTGAAGTCATATAAGACTGAAGTACTTTTGGGATGTTTTTAATTTTTACATGAATATTCTTGAAATAGGGTGTAAGCACTCATGATATGTTGACAAACAAATAAGAGTTGTTCTCAGTACATCTGCATTATCATTTGCTACACATAGGCGTCAATTTTAATATACTTATAGAAGTAATCACTTTTACTAGCGACTAGTTTTTCAATAGGCAGCAAAAATATGGCATCTTGTTTTCCTATTTTATCTCTATTATTGTTTTTGTTTATTATTTTTCCGATGATTTCATTGAAAATTTGTCCATCCCTCCATTTCCAGGTTAGGAAGAAGATGTCCGAACATCCACGACCTCATAGGTAATTTTGCATAGACAAAATTTCATTTTTGACTCAACAAAAATATTTGCAGTGGATCTGTCATTAAGCATCAAATATGAAGTTGATTCCATGCTTTTACTTTAAGAGATGTATTCAGAAAGCCTTAGATCTAAAAGCTTAAGCAATAGGTTGAGACCAAACTTACATTATGTTTGCTATAACTCCCCCTACATACAGGCCGGCTAAACCTTAAATGTATTAAAATTAAAATTGCTCTGAACACTAATCCTTATAGTTGTTAAGATTAAGTTATAATATAAAAGGGATGCTTAGAGCTTCGGATCATTGTATCAAGCTGGTATTAGTACCCTGACAACCCTGACAGCCAACCATAGTTGGCTATATTACAGGCATGCTGAACCTAAGGATCAAAAAGTTCAAAGCTAACTATCTGGCTAAAAAGCTAAGTGAATTGAAGATTTGCCATTCAAGATGTTAATATTACAGGATAACATTATGAAGGACATTTATTTCACAGAGTCATATCAAAAGCAACTACACATGATTTTCTTTTAGATGGTCTCTAAACGTCTTTCCAATGAATAGCTGTTGCTGTTTGCATTACTTATCAGTGCCATACATGGGTACTGTGGTTTCTATCTCAAAATAAACAAAAAAGGCATGTTATTGATGTGCATGTTTGCATTATCAACATAAGAAGTCATCATGTATGTGACAAGTTCTGTAAAAATTAATTTTAATCATCCTTGGCTGCAGATGCATTCTTTCATTACTTTATATCTATTTTCTTAGTCTTTTTTCTCTTAATAAGCATCTTGGAATGAGCTTCTCAAACTTTTAGCATGAATTTGTATCTCATTGCAACAAAGATAACTAGTTCGGTAGTTCTCACCTCCAAAGATCATGAAATAGAGAATGATAATCCTGCAGTGAGGAAAGCAAGGCAAGAATTGGGTCTTCAGTGAGACGTGTTTGGTGCAAGCGTTTGAAATGTAAACGGTTAGGGGAGAGATTCTTTCTATCATGGATGAAAAGTATAGCTGAAGCTGCTAGGAAAGGAGGGAGTGACCAAGCAGAGCTAGAATGGGATAGCTATGACAAGATAAAACAAGAAATAGCTTTTGAACAGCTCCAGTGGACTACTGAGGAAGCCAAGGGAAAGGAGAAGGCCAAGGAAAGAGCAGCAACAGCAAAAGCAGAAAAGATAGTTAGGATCGCTCAAAAGATAAAAGAGCAGGAAGAGAAAGAAAAAGCAAAAGAACAAAAGAGAAAGATGCAAGAAAAATCAAAGAAAGATGAGAAGGTGGCAGATTCCCAAGGATTGAAACTTAAGCAGAGATTAACAATGGTAAGAAACCTCGGAAAGACATAAATTTTGACCCTCCAACCTGCAGCAGTTCTGTACTAACAATTATTGCTTGTACATAAATGCCATAGCATGAAACTTGACCTTTTGTGTGGATAAGTTGATAACTCTGCCATTTTTGGGTGATCATAAATAATGAGGATGTTTCAAAAAGGTAACATGTAATTTTGTAGTTTGCCCAAGAATGGACAAAGCAGAGAAACTTAAGAGAAAATAAAAAATAGAAAACTCTAATCATAACTATGTATAACAATGGGCAAAAGGATATTTCTAATCACTGGCTGCTGTTGGTACATTCTTAGGGCAGTTTCAGAAATTCTCTTCCCAAAGTTTCTCTTTGAAAGAAAACTCTTCCATCATATTTTGATTGCCTGCGTACAAATACTGATTGAATGGAATAGAGTGGGATGGACATATATCTTTGAAATATTTCCCATCTAAAGTTCATTTCAGGGAACAATCAGCACCATAGAAGTCCTCTTTTTCCCCCTTTCCAAACCTATTAGATAAAATTGCCTAAATATGTGCTTGCATTCTTATGGATTGTCATTCTATTAAATTAGAGACATGTAGCTTTTGAAGGATTTGTGTTGATAGAACTATTATCAGTAGTTTCAGCATACAATAAGTCTCTTGTTTCCATGGTTCCATTCTTATGGATTGTCATTCTATTATATTAGAGACAACTAGCTTTTGAAGGATTTGTGTTGATAGAACTATTATCGGTAGTTTCAGCATATAATAAGTCTTGTTTCCATGGTTCTGTAAGTCATTTTCTCTATGGTAATATCTTCTATCCTTAGATCCGCAGAAAGAAATCCATAAATAGTCAAGTTATTATTCAAGGAGACACAGCGCATTTCCCAGCACTGGAGAAATTGAACATAGAGCTTATAAAGAAAGAGAAAATGCAAAGTGAAGTTTCACTTGCGGAGCAGATCAAAGCAGCCAAAAGCAGAAGAGCAGAATCAATTTCTGCAAAGGTTCTGGCAGTTTCATCATCCATTCTCTCATACAGTGAGAGACTAGAAGACTAAGCTCCAAAGATGATTGTTCCTGTAAACAAAATCAAAGCAAGGTATATCAGGTAGAAGGTGATTGCCCTTTCCTAGCTTCTATGCTTCCTTTTGCTGATATGTTTATTCAATGGTTTCATTATCACTTTCATGGTATAGGACAACAGTCAAAATATTGGATCCATTCCGATTGTCCGTGTCTAATCCATGAAGTAAATTTTGATCAAAGTGATCATTGACTTGCTTTGTTCCTCCCCTGCTTCCTGCTCTTGCTTTATTCATATTTTTCCAATAATGTTCAGTCTTCTAATTTCCTGCTCTTGTCACTGGGTAGCTTAGTGGATGCTTTGCACTTTGAGCTATTACCTCTCATCTGATTACCATATTCAGACTCAAACTGGAGCAATTGCTGATATCGGGTTAAAGATTTTTTTGAGGTTTTGAGAAATAGAGTTTAGTGTTGCTTTCCAATGATTCTGGTGAAACTAGTATGCGTATGAAACATCACAGTAAAGCTTCTTAGTTATTCTTCAACACTGCTATACACTTTGTGATGTCAACTAGTATGCAAATGAAACATCACAGTAAAGCCTGTTAGGTATTCTTTAATACTGCTCTGTTCTTTGTGATGTCGATTATCACGGTAGCTGACAAAGAAATTCTGTTGATCGTATCATTTTAGTTATCAACATGGTATGTTTACTAATTCTGATTCTTGTCCAAACTTTTTAACACTTTTTTTTTATCTTAATCTTCTAGCCATTTTTTAAAAATATTGAAGAAATCTTTAAAATTGTTGGGATTCAAGGGATACTTCAATAAATCTTTTAATAGATCGTATTGTAAGATGCATGACCTCTTTTGAGTTGGTGCAGACACGTCTTTGCTAGCTCGGTAAGGTGATAAAAGATTTTGAATGCTCCATCTCAAACAAATTTCACATTTCCACTATCAATGCTGAAGATAAGATCTCCATAACAGAAAACCGCATGTGCTTTTGTTTAAGAAAGGGAAGATGGATGGAGTTGCTAGATATAACTGCTCTGAATAAACAAACCAAAGAGCAGGAACAACTTATATCAAAAGAAATAGGATGCAATAAAATCTTAAACCTGGGCGAAATCAACTCACAAACAGGCAAAAATTTTACCTAACACCAACCTTGCCATAATCATCATGCTAAAAATCCCACCAAATTTCAAGCTATAGGATACAAACAAAGGAACATTGATAAACCTACCAAGAATCGTAAGTCCTAGACACGTTCTCTTTATCTACACCATTATCTAAAATAACAACAGCATTACCTAAAATAGTCTGAGTTCATGTAAAACAAACGTTTTTTTAAGATCGACAGTTCCCACCAGGCATGTTTCCTGCATCCATGTTTGGAGCATAGTTATTCTGGTACTGGTATTGTGCATTTGGTGCAGCACCTTGGTAAGGCGTGTTTCCACAGTCAGGGCCATTTTGGAAGTTCTGTGCATTTCCAGGCATGTTACTGGACCACCCTTGATTTGGTGGCACATTCCCCATATTCTGCTGCATTCCTGGCATTCTTCCTCCCATGTTGTTTGGTGCCATTCCTCCTCCCATGTTGTTTGGAGGCATCCTTCCCATGTTGTTGGATGGCATCCCTACCCTATTGTCGGGTGGCATCCCTCCCATGTTGCTGGGAGGCATTCCTCCCATGTTGTTTGGAGGCATTCCAGCTGTATTAGGACCAACATGCTGCATGCCCTGATTTGAAGGAGGCATCTCCCTACTCTGATTATCTCGGGGCTGCATGCTCTCCCTTCTTCTCTCATAGTTTTTTGATCTATCATAATTACGAGGCCTATCATTTCGCCTATTTCTTTCATTTGCTCGAGCATTGTTCCTCACCCATTCCTCATGGTACTTTGGATCATATGGAACTGCTTGCCCATTAATAAAAGGTTCCCCTGAAAAATGATAGATTATTACAAGTACTAATAGCTTAAAACAAAAGGATCCAATGGAAGAAATATTAAAGATTGAAAAAAAAAAAAAAAAAACAGATAAAAGTGCTTATGTACCTCCATAATCCTTATTCTTCACATCCAAGTAAGAATCAGGAAGAACCCACCTAACTCCAGGAAGTTCTGAAGGAACATGAGAACATCCATAAAAACTTTTTGTTAAAACTTCACTATAGACAAGAAAATTTGATCACTTAAGAGGACATGCACCTTTGATCTTATATGAGAGCTCTTCAGACACAAGAGCTCCAAATGCATAGTAGTGTCTGGTAGAAACTGAATAAATTTTCATTCTTGCTTCCTCCTCACTGTATACAAGAAACTCAGGAAATAAACAAACCATTATATACAAAGAAACACACGCATTCTCATTACATATATCATTCTGTTATGGAGTGATAAAAAAAAAAAAAGCATATAAAGAAAACCATTCCTAAAAATACTAAAATCCCAATGGTTAGATGATAAGTTACAATCATCATGCTGATAAATGGTGCTTTTGCTACTAATAATAGTCTAACATGCTGCAGTGCATAAAACCAAACCTAAGAGCCCTTGTAAAATAAGGATCATATGTTTCCAAAACAAAGAGGGAAACAAAGCGGGAAAAAAGTTGTTTTGAAGACAGTAGCCAATATGCAGAGATTCTTCAATCCATATCCATTATGTGCCGGCCAAAAAAAAAAAAAACCTTACCATCAACACAAATATCTGTTTGTGTATCACAAAGTGATACTCCAAATAACACTCCCATTCAGAAAATTTCAACAAAAAAAAATGCGGTTCATAGGAAACAAAAATTACAAAAGTTTAGGAACCAGAGCAACTAACAACAAGTTTAACATTGCATTAATAAACAAGTTCCATTCTAATTGAAGGACATCATTAGTAAAAGAATCACCACCACTATACTAAATCTAAAACCTTATGATTTTCTCAATGCAGCTTATAAATTAACAACCAAACAAAAAATTGTCAAACACAATATATTATTTCTCTTCTTTCCATTCTCTTCCAAACTCAAAGAAAACAAAACCATGTAACATCAATAATAAAGCAATAAACCCTGACTACCAGCAATCAAGATTAAGCATTGCAACTTAATTAAAGAGTAATCCAGCAACCTCTAGTCTCACTAGAATCATTTTTCTCATAAAAAAGATACTTTAAAACATAACAATGAAACTACATTCAATCTCCACCATAACTATTTCATCAGCATTCAATGGAAGTAAAACTGTAAAACAAATACATGCCGTAACTATTTCATCAGCGTTCAACTGGAAGTAAAATGTAAAACAAATATATGAATAAATAAGGCTCTATAAATAAAACAATTAAAAATTAGTAAAAATAGGTCTAAAAATTTAACGCACACATAAAATAAAATAAATAATTTTTCTTATTAAAATTTATTTTATTATTTAATTACAAACAATTAAAAGAAACTATTATAAATAAAAAATAATAATAATACCTGCCCAGCACTTGAGACAGGGTTTTGATATATCTATCAATAATTTCATCCCTAGTAGCATTCTCTGGAGGTGGCTCCATCACGACGAGCCAATGCTCAAAATCACAACCGTCCAGCAAAATAGTCTCTTTCGGGGGCCGATTCGAGTAGTTCGGATTTGGGTCATTGAGGGAGGACCTCACTGCTCGTGTGGAGAACGATTTGACAGAAAGGGAGTCAAGAAAAAGGAGAGAGAAGAAAGGTGGGCCACGGATGCGACGAAGGAAGAAGAGGGGAGGAGGTGGCGATGAGGGGATTAGGGGTTTGGAGGAGGAAGCTACAGTGGAGGAAAAAGAAGGGGTAAAGGAAGAGAAATAACGGGAGACAGGGAAGAGGAAGGAAGAAAGGGTTTTGGGTTTGACGAGGATAGCCATTTGGAGACTGAGAAGAAAAGAATGAAAAATGAGAGTTTTGGAAGGGCTTATATAAAAGATGGGAAATTAGATATTTTATTTTGCGTTGAATCTTTATTTAATTATTATTATCTCTCACTTTATTTATTTATTTATTTATTTATTTTTATAATATTTTTGAGTGTTTTTATTAGAAAAAAATTATAATAGCAGTGTATTTTTAAAATAAAAGAAAATAATTTTCGTGGCAACAGAAAAATGTGTCAAAATTTGTCCCTGCATAACTTTTTTCAAAGTTTTATAATGTTTTAATTTTATTTCTTTCTCTTTGTAACAAAAAAGAAAATTATCAAACTGGCCACAATAAATTATATTAAGTCTTAATAATATTTGTAATAATCTTTTTATTAAATTAAAAAATTGAATGATAATTAAATTATATATGTTAAATTTTTTTATTTATTAATGTATTTATATAAAAATTTTATAACTGTGATATCTAGTGAATGGTAGGTGATTAAAGCTAATTTAAACATATTTTATATCACCTTAAAAGTTTAGGCCTTTAAATGTCCCATTGAATGTATATAGTTTTGAAATCAAAACATTTAAGAATGTGTTTCTTTTATAAAGATAGCTTGGTTTGAATTAGAGTTGGCATTGGGTCGGATTCGGGACGAGCTGAAACCCGACCCTACCAGAAAATTTTTTTGTTTTTTCATACTCAAACCCGAACTCGACTTGGTACTATATAAACTGTACCCGACCCAATCCAAAATTAATAAAATATTTTATTTTTTTAATATAAAATATTATTTTTTAAATATAAATATTTAAAAATATAATTATATAAATATATATAAATAAAAAATTAAATAATTAATTAAAAAAAATTTATATAATATCGGGTCAGGTTTTACCTAAAACCCGAACCCGATTGTTTTCATAACTTTATCCGACCTGATCCGAAACTCGAATTTCAAAAAAAAAAAATCAACCCATAGAATTGGGTAGGGTCTGAACCCGTCGGGTACGGGTTGAATTGCCGTCCCTAATTTGGATAAACAAATGCTAGATCAAAAAGTTATCTTAATTTTATAGTTCTAATATGGGATTTAATTAATTGATTAAGTTTAAGATTGACAACTAAATTAGGAGCAATTGTATTTTTGTCACGTGATAGTGCGTTTATCATTGCTTTTATATTTATTATTTTTCTGATGATTTCATTGAAAATTTGTTCATCCCTTCATTTCTAGGTTAGGAAGAAGATGTTTGAACATACCCGTACTCATAGGTAATTTTGCAAAGACGAAATTTCATTTTTTGACTCAACAAAAATGTTTACGGTGGATCTGTCATTAAGCCTCGAACATAGAGTTGATTTCATGCTTTTAGTTTAAGGGATGTACTCAAAAAAACCTTAGACTCAAAAGCTTAAGCAATAGTTTGAGACCAAACTAACATTATGTTCACTATAAATCCCCCTACATACAGGCCGGCTAGGCCTTGATTTATTAAAATTAGAATTGGCCTAAACACTAATCCTTATACGTGTTAAGATTAACTTGTAATATAAGAGGGATGCCGAGATTAGAGCTTTGGAGTGAGCTTAGGAAAATTTTAAAATCTAAAACATTGAATCAAATTAAATTTAAACATATAAAATATTAATATCAAATATAAACTCAATTCAAATAAATACTTTAATCTTTCCCTTATAAGATACATTATTTTTAAAAACAAAAATACGAATCCAGCTCAAAAATCAAATCAGCATACATAACTTTCAAAAACCCATATATAAATGTAATCAAGTAAAACCACAAAATTAATTTATTACAAGATATCGAAACATAACATGAAACCCTCCCGACCCGCTTTTATCTAACAAAAACAACAAACCCTTTGCTTATAATCTTCGAACATCCATAAAACTATCCAAACCTTGGGTCTCAAACTCAAACATTCAAAATTCTGAAAGTACAGTGCACAAAAGCATATTAAAAAAGCCAGCAGCAGCAGCTCACTTTGATTTTTTAGCTCCGGAATCGCTCTGTGTCTTTGATCCAACTTTAAAATTGGTAAAACATATAGCCATACAAGTCCTGTTACTACTATTCTCCATGATCGAAAGATCTTTCTTTTTCTCTTCTTCCTTTTCAATCTCAATTTTAGAGCAACATAACAGGAAACAACCCCTCACCCTGTTTTTCTTATGCTTCGTTTTGGGGGCCGTCGACCATGGGATCAGGCCCCGGAATCACCTGAACAACTTCTGCCCCCTGGGAGGGCACAGTGACAATGTCTTTGATGTTTGTATTTTCAGTGTAACCCATGACTTGATTTGCATAAAAAATTTTCAGGTTCCTACAAATTACGAGAATACATACATACAGCTTAAATATATAGCGGGAAAAGTCAAAGGCTGAGAATATTTCTAAGTAGATGCTAATATTAAAAATTTTAAACAGTACCTGATTAAACTGATACATATAACATATAACAAATCTTGAGTTTAAATTGTTAGACTACAAAGTTTTTAATCCAATTAATTATCCAAGTCAACGAAACTATAATAAACAATTAATCAATTACATAAAAAATAACAGTTTAATATAATTCAATCTAACTGATTTACATCAACGAATAAAAAAAAAACTATTAGTTGTATAAAATTATGAATATATAATTATCAATTAATTATTCATAATTAATACTTATAGATTTTTTTATTTTCGTAAGTGTTTTTAACCTAAACAAACGTATACTCATGTACACTCGTACATTACATCTATATAAATCATCTCATTTTTCTTTAATCCAATTAAACATATACTTCATAAAGACATTAATCTTTTGTCATTCCCTTTTAGTTTACTTAAGCATATATTTCGTAATCTTCTATAGTCTTATAACATATGTACCTAATAAAATTTTATAATTTTTTTATTTTTTTTCTTATAATTAATTTTATAAAAAAATTCACCTATTTATATATTTTCAAACTTGTTTTCAAAAATCCTTTTTCTCTTAGATTTTTTTTCTATAAGTTTTTTTGTCTGTCAGTAATATTTAATCAATTTCAAATAAATCTTTTAATGAGAATTAAATCACTATTTTCAACACAAATTTTAATATCCCCAATTCATTTTTCTATACTAAATTATAACTTCCTTTGTAGAAATATATATATATATATATATATATTAACTTTAAAAGAAAACAGTCCAATTATACATAGGGTTGATAGATTAGATCTTAAACAATCTTAATTTGTTACAGAAAAAGGCAACTTAAAAGGTTTTTATGGACTTAATTGTTTTGATTTTCACAGGAAAAGGACATTGATTATGATAAGAACATATTTTATTTTGGGAGAGATGATAAGAAAAGATGTAATTCGTTGAACTAACATTAGCACTTACACTGATTCAATGTTTAATTAAATTTATTTATAATTAATTTCGGTTCAAAGAAAGTATTGTCAATTTTTTTTTATCTTTAATTAACAAACCATTTCACAATTTTTTAATATTATTAATTAGTTATTACAAATCATTATATATAGCATCTACAAAGAACAGCATTACCAGTCGCATTTTTTCCTCTTAAAAACTGAGAGTTTGTGTTTGAATTTGTGTATGCTGCTGATGGAGTGAATTAAGACATCAGATTTATAAAAGAAAAAAAAAAAAAAAAAACATGAGAGCATAGTTTGGTTACTCAATCATGCTTGTTCTTTGACAAATTCCGAAGATGGTTAAGTTCTCCACATATATTTCTCACAGAGAAACAGGAATTATAATTCCTCCATAGTTTAGGGATAGAAAAAAAATATTAATGTTAGATTTGAATTACAATCTAAATGTCATGATGATGGCATTAATTAATTAAATTAAACTTTTATTTTTTATTTTTTTAATAATTAAACCTCATTTTTAAAGATCTTATTCTATTTTTCTTCATTTTATTTTAACTTTTCAAATAGAATCTCACAGAAAAATACAAAGATATTTCCAATTATTAATTACTTCCCTTATTTCAGAATATTTTAGTCATGTTCAAGCCCTTCTAAATGCATTTACATCATTGCTTAGTGAAAATTGCAAAAGAACTTGTTAAACGTTGTTGACTTCCAATTTTACAAAAACCTAGGCTCGAAGGAACAAAAATCATAAAATTATACCAATGCTAATGACTTCTACTGAAAACATATTCACACTTTATTTACTTACAATACTGGAACTTGAAAAAACAAAAATGAAAAAAGGCAACAATTGTTTATAATTAGATATATTACAATCAAATCACATTTTATACAAAACATACAAATCAAACAAATTAAATCATTCTTCTTTACACACAACCATATATAATTTTTTATTTATTTTACAATATCCCTAAAAATAAATTCTTCAGTATTTTATATTTTGAGAGCTATTTTTCTTATTCTTTTATAATTTTTTTTAATTTCATTTTTTTTTTCCAAATGGAAAGGAAAAGTAGCTCCAATTTGCCAAGCTGAACCTCACTTGGCAATCTTCTTAGGCCCAAATTCATCGTTAGGACCAACTTGAAAATTGGAACAACACATCACCATGGCAAGTTTGCTGTTTTCACCCTTAAAAAACGCCAAGGTTTTTTCCTTTTCCTCCTCGTTCTCAAACTGCATGTTGGAGCAACACATGAACAAACACCTTTTCTTCTTGTTCTTGTTCATCTTCTTCCCTTTACAGCATGAAACTTTCACCGCTGGCGGCTGAACGTCCACAGCTGGCGGTGGCACATCCACAGCAGCCGCAGGAAGCATCATAATGTTGGTTTCTTGAGGGGTCTCGATGGTGGAAACCGCAATGTACTTGGCAGTCTTGGTTTCAGTATAATTAGCCATAGCTTGCTTTAAAATCTTCAATGTGCAAACTAATGGAAAACATACAAGCATATATAAAGGGCAAAGTCAACTAAGCATATATTGTTTTAGACTTTAGATACGTGTATGCTAAGCAATTGAGTATGATAAGCAATTGAATAAAAAATTAAGTTATATAAAAAAAAACCATTGTTTAACAATTAATCTGTGTGAATTCT